GTCTTCATCAATTTGTCGGGAGGACTGCAAGTTCCTTTTTTATCTATAAAATTTTTGTAGAGAGCTATTTTGACGAAAATCTAAAAATTGCTGCATTTCAATTAGCGATTTTAGAAAAACGGCAGAAATTTCCGAAGAAACGAAGCCGAAAATGACTTCTGGATAGGGTTGAAAATGCCAAAAGTGCTAAACTCAGTATTATCTTATCAAACACTAGCCCCGCCTACCCACCCTCTATTTTCTTGGAAGGTATGTCATTTGCCAAAATCATTATCATCTTAGCAAGTACTAGACCCGCCTACCCGTCCTCTTCACATTCTAACGACTAATTTTATTTCCGTTCAGTATGAGATTGTTCTGGCTAAAATGTGATCATTTCATTCAGATCGGATAAAATTAATCACTGAAAAGGAGGCAGGGTGGGTGGGCGGGGTAATTATATTCTTCTGTCGAGGAACATAAGAATTTTTCTATTTTTTTTTTTAGGAAATAGATTCCAAAATTCTTGCAAGTTTGTTCAAAAACGAAACATCAAGGGTTCCGAATTTTTTTTTTATTAATTTCGAATCAAACAAACGACAAGGACCTTCGGGACTATCAAATTATCTAAAAAATGCCAGGAATTTCGCGAATTGTTAAATTTTTTAGTTTTAATTTTTAATGAAAACAGCAGGGGCCTTAATTTTTTTTTAATTTTTTCAAAACCCAAAAACTAGAGAGCCCAAGATTTTCTACAAGTGTTTTGATAAACGAATACCAGGGGGTACAAGATTCTTTCAACTTAAAAAAAAATACTAAGAACCCACAATCTTTTCAGCCAGTTATCAGTTGTGGTACAATTTTGTCGATTTTGTATTTTCTAAGAAAATTTTCACCTTTTTTTTATAAAATTTTAATTTTTTTCCAAAAATCGAGACTTCTACAAGAGTAACTAATAAAGCATTTAAATAGGATTTACCCGGCAAAATTTTCGGATGTCTTCATCAATTTGTCAGGAGGACTGCAAGTTCCTTTTTTATCTATAAAATTTTTGTAGAGAGCTATTTTGACGAAAATTTAAAGATTGCTGTATTTCAATTAGCGATTTTAGAAAAACGGCAGAAATTTCCGAAGAAACGAAGCCGAAAATGACTTCTGGATATCGAAATGTACATGAAAATGTCTTCAACTAATTTTTGGATAGGGTTGAAAATGTCAAAAGTGCTAAAGCCAGTATTATCTTATCAAATACTAGCCCCGCCCACCCACCCTCTGTTTTCTTGGAAGGTATGTCATTTGCTAAAACCATTCTTATCTTAGCAAGTACTAGCTCTCTCATTCTAACGACTAATTTTATTTCTGTTCAGTATAAGATCGGATAAAATCAGTCAATGAAAACGAGACAAGGTGGGTGGGCGGGGCTAACTATGTTCTTCTGTCGAAAGATTCTATTTTTTTCAATACCAAAAGTCAAAAGATTCTTTTAAATTCTTAGAAAAAGATACCAAGGACTTTAAGAATTTTTCAATTTTTTTTAATGAAAATAGATTCCAAAATTCTTGCAAATTTTTTCAAAAACGAAGCACCAAGGGTTTCTAAGGTTTTTTTTAATTGTTTCCGAAACAAACAAACATCAAGGACCTTCAGGACTCTGTCAAATTATCGAAAAAATGCCAGGAATTCCACAAATTGTTACATTAAAAAAAAAAACTAGTAAGTAATGTAACATTGTTTCAATTTTTTGTTAATGGAGACAGCAGGGGCCCTAATTTTTTTTTTTATTTTTTCAAAAACGAAAAAATAGAGAGCCCAAGATTTTCTGCAAAATGTTTTGATAAACGAATACCAAGGGATGTAAAACTGCTTCAGCTTATTTAAAAAAATACTAGGAACCCACAATCTTTTCAGCCACTTACTAGTTGTGGTACAGTTTTCTCGATTTTGTATTTTCTAAGAAAATTTTCTCCTTTTTTTTTATGAAATTTTAAATTTTTTCCAAAAATTTAAACTTCTACAAGAGTAACTAATAAAACATTTAAATAAGATTTACCCAGAAAAATTTTCGGATGTCTTCATCAATTTGTCGGGAGGATGCAAGTTCCTTTTTTGTCTATAAAATTTTTGTAGAGAGCTATTTTGACGAAAATCTAAAAATAGCCATATTTCAATTAGCGATTTTAGAAAAACGGCCGAAATTTTCGAAGAAACGAAGCCGAAAATGACTTCTGGATATCGAAATGTACATGAAAATGTCTTCAACTAATTTTTGGATTGGGTTGAAAATGCCAAAAGTGCTAAAATCAGTATTATCTTATCAAATACTAGCCCCGCCCACCCACCCTCTATTTTCTTGGAAGGTATGTCATTTGCCAAAATCATTCTCATCTTAGCAAGTACTAGCTCTCTCATTCTAACGACTAATTTTATTCCTGTTCAGTATAAGATCGGATAAAATCAGTCACTGAAAAGGAGACAGGGTGGGTGGGCGGGGCTAACTGTGTTCTTCTGTCGAGAGATTCTATTTTCTTCAACACCAAAAGTCACAAGATTCGTTTAAATTCTTAGAAAAAGATACTAAGGACTTTCAGAATTTTTCAATTTTTTTTTTTATGAAAATATTTTTCAAAAACGAAACACCAAGGGTCTCTAAGGTTTTTTTTTTAATTGTTTCCGAAACAAACAAACATCACGAACCTTCGGGATTCTGTCAAATTATCGAAAAAATGCCAGGAATTCCACAAATTGTTACATTAAAAAAAAAGCAGTAAGTAATGTAACATTTTTTCAATTTTCAAAAACCAAAAAATAGAGAGCCAAAGATTTTCTGCAAAATGTTTTGATAAACGAACACCAAGGGGTGTAAAACTGTTCAGCTTATATAAAAAAAATACTAGGAACCCACAATATTTTCAGCCAGTTATCAGTTGTGGTACAATTTTGTCGATTTTGTATTTTATAAGAAAATTTTCACCTTTTTTTTATAAAATTTTAAATTTTTTCCAAAAATTTAGACTTCTACAAGAGTAACTAATCAAGCATTTAAATAGGATTTACCCAGCAAAATTTTCAGATGTCTTCATCAATTTGTCGATGCAAGTTCCTTTTTATCTATAAAATTTTTGTAGAGAGCTATTTTGACGAAAATCTAAAAATTGCTGTATTTCAATTAGTGATTTTAGAAAAACGGCAGAAATTTCCGAAGAAATGAAGCCGAAAATGACTTCTGGATAGGGTTGAAAATGTCAAAAGTGCTAAAATCAGTCTTATCTTATCAAATACTAGCCCCGCCCTCCCACCCTCTATTTTCTTGGAAAGTATGTCATTTGCCAAAATCATTCTCATCTTAGCAAGTACTGTGACCATTTTATTCAGATCGGATAAAATCAATCACTGAAAAGGAGATAGGGTGGGTGGGCGGGGCTAATTATATTCTTCTGTCGAGGGATTCTATTTTTTTCAAAATTTAACCATCAAAAATCACAAAGGACATTAAGAATTTTTCAATTTTTTTGATGAAAATAGCTAAGATCCCAAAATTCTTTTAATTTTTTTCAAAAACGAACCACCAAGGGTTCCTAATTTTTTTTTAAATTATTGTCGAATCAAACAAACATCAAGGACCTTCGGGACTTTATCAAATTATCTAAAAAATGCCAGGAATTTCACGAATTGTTAAATGTTTTAATTTAAATTTCTAATGAAAACCGCAGAGGCCTTAATTTTTTTTTGTAATGTTTTTAAAACCCAAAAACTGGAGAGCCCAAGATTTTCTACAAGTGTTTTGATAAGCGAATACCAAGGGGTACAAGATTCTTTCAACTTAAAAAAAATACTAAGAACCCACCATCTTTTCAGCCAGTTATCAGTTGTTAGTTATTACAAAGTGTTTTATTTATTCTACGGCAATAGAAGTAAATGATCAAAATCTTCGAAAAATTCAGTTTGAAATGAAATTTTTCAAATATGCATCTTAAAAATTGTCATTTTTCATTTATAACTTCTGGAAAAATTATTGGAATTTTTGATTCATGCTTGAAAAAATTTATACGGTGGAGGGGGGTACAAATCTCAATAGTTTATTTGAAAAACAGAAAGTATTCATGGCCCAGGACTAAAATTTTCGAAAAATTTGGTTTGTTAATTTTTTTCCCCTCGAAAATTGACATTTTTTCATTTAATCAATTCTGGTAAAATAACTTCTACAATTCTAAATTAATTAAAAAATGCTCTTGGCTCATTTTCGAAGTGTTTGAAAGAGAAAAAAATGCTGTTTTTTTTTTATTATTTTTTCGGTAGTTTCGGAGACTCTTAATTATCGTAGCAGGTGGTAGCCCCGCCCACCCACCCTTTTTTTCTTAGAGTGTGTGTCATTTGCCAAAATCAGTCTTATCTTGACAAGTCGTTTACTTATCTTACACTAATACACATGTATACAAAAAATTATTAAAATATTCTTATTATTACTGAGTGTTCTGATTTCCATGTCACTTAGTATATATTGATAAACAGTGGAAGCGAGACAAAAAAGTAGAATTAGCTCCATCCACATCGATTTTTGAAGTGCATCAACTTATTTTATTTACTTTGAGATAAAAAATGAATTTTATTTTGTCATGGTCGAAACAAGCTAAAAAAAATTATCCACTGTGAAACTAAATTATTCTGAAAAAATCAATTTCGCAGTGAGCAAATGTAAGTTGGTGGAGTCTCATCTTTTTTGACTGATTTTATACGCAGTTTTTTATGCAAGTTAAAAAATGAGTTAACTTTATTGATTAATTTTTGATAAAAATTATCAAATAAAGAAATCTGGCCTGACCTGACCCGACCTGACCTGACTTTGGTTCACCTGACGTGACCTGACTTTGTCTGACCTGACCTGACCAACATCAGGTCATTACTCTGAGTATGTGGGCATAAATTTGTTCGACCGATGTGGTAGAATTGCCGATATTTGTCAGCGGTGCCATCAACCTCCCCGTACTCGAAGAATATTCCTAACCCTCTGTTTTTGCTTTCAGATACCACGGCGAAGGCCCTCCGATCCTCAAACCCCGCGCCCAGCCCGTCCCCGCCTACGACTACGTCGTCGAAATCACCGACCCCGACTCCCTCGACGACCTCATGGCCGACCCCGACGAGATGCGCATGCAGGCCCTAGTGATGCGTGAGCGCATCCTCGGTCCGGCGCACCCCGACACCAGCTACTACATCCGCTACCGGGGCGCCGTGTACGCGGACGCCGGCAAGTTCAACCGCTGCATCGAGCTCTGGAACTACGCCCTCGACATGCAGCAGTCCATGCTCGAGCGCCTCAACCCCATGACCCAGAGCAGCCTCTTCTCCTTCACCGAGCTCTTCTCGTTCATCATGGGCGAGGAGGGCAAGCACACCACCCGCGGCCGCCTCGTGCCGCCCGTCGACGTCGTGGAGATCCTGCGCGTGTTCAAGAAGGCCGTGAAGGAGGTGGATTTGGGCAGCCAGATGCTGGAGAAGATGCCCAACGTTGAGAGAGACATGACTTACTTGACGCGGGTCCTTGTGATCACGCTGCACTTGGCGTGCTTGCTGACGCGCATGCTGGAGCACCACACCACGACGGAGGGGATCAAGAAGGAGATCCACAAGGCGGTGTACGACTTGGTGAAGCTGAGGATTCGGGCGAGGTCGGGGCGGACGGCGCTGCACTTGGCGTGCTGCAGGGACGCGGCGCTGCTGGGGAGGTACCCGGCGTGCCAGTTCCCGTCGGCGCACCTGGCGGAGGTGCTGCTGAGGGTGGGCGCGGACCCTAACGTGAAGGACGACGAGGGGAACACGCCGCTGCACCTCGCCGCCATGGCGAGGCCGTGTCCGGCTAACATCACCCAGGTTCTGTTGAAGCACGGGGCCCATCTAGATCTAGTGAACAGTAGCGGGGACACTTTCACGAGTTTACTGAAAGGACAGCAAGTGCACGAGTTAGTGAACACGGCCAAGTACACGGGACTGAGTTGTGCCGCAGCGCGTATTATCCAGCAGTTCAAAATCCCGTACAAGGGGATCGTACCAGCCGCTTTGGAGTCTTTCATTGCATGCCACTGATTTTGTGATTTTTCTGTTACTGTACAACTATTTGTCTACACTACAATTTTAAAATGCTGATTTGTTATTTAGGAGATTTTGGCAACGATGGACTCGGGTTTTGGCGACACCTAGCGTGCGCTTGACGAAACTTAAATACTTCAGGACGAGTTGAGAGTGTAACTGGTTCTTAACTTAGAAAATTACGCCGTAGGTTACTTGATTGTTAATAGAAGAAAATTTACTCCCAAAATTTTAACGAAATTAAGTGAATTGTTAGTTGCTAAATGTAATGATGAATTCAGTTATTTTAAATAAATTTAAATTGTAGGTAAGGTAAATGTTTGTATGTTACATAACTGAGACACCGTTTGTTCTGCTGACCCTGTCCGTTCGTTTGTACAGACAGAGCAAAGGTGGCTTTCGTTATGTTGTAATCTAAAAAGTGTGATTTTTATGAGTGCTAAATATATTTACAATCATTATCTAGCTATATAAATTTTGTTAAATAAAAAATTAAATTTAAACGGTTTTGATTTATCGCTCCCCGCACTCTTTAGATTTTTAACAAAAAACAAGCTGCATTAGAGTAAGCCATGAAATAATCTTAGATTGGCATGACTGAGTGATGACATTTTAAAGACAAGCTTCAAATTACATAATTACAATAATTATTTACTAGCAGCTGCAAGTAATACGATGTCAACAATAAAAATTGGAGTGTATGCAACACAAAATACACATTAACGTCAAATAACGCAATAAAAAATCAGACATTTATTATAAAAACTACATATTTAATAATGTCTCAATAGCCCGAGTTTGTATTAGTATATTTCAAATCATGTACATAGTTTCATAAGATTTATTATTATTTTCAAATAAATAATAATTATATTTTTCTTTACAAGGTACATCCACGAATGGTACACCAACAAGATTGCAAGTTCAGGAATCAGGATAGAATTTCAAGCGTAATTCGTTAGATGGCGCCATTTACGTCCAACTGTCAAAATATTATCAAGATGGAGGCTGTTTTTAAAATGGAAGGAAAAAATAATTTCAAACCATAGAATTAGAGGGGACAAAATGGTAATCGCAGACACTACTTGCCCCCATGGAAAGCTATCTGTTCTTCTGAGATTTCTGTCACTATATTTTGGGTATCTCTGGTATTTTATTTTTTTTAAACATTTATATTAATCTAGGGACATCTGGCGTTTTGCCTTTGGAAAAATCTTGGACACCCTCGAAGTTTTATTTTTGAAAAAATTTGAAAGAATGACAGGGGTTCTTGGTAGTCCGTTTGCGGAAGAATCTTAGGGGCTTAGAAGTATGGAAGCTTCCGATGTTTAGTTAGAGACTACTGATTTATTTTTTTTTTTTATATATTTTTTAGTTTGATAGAATTGTTTTTGGAAAAATTTGGAAGCGTTGGGAACCCATGGTGTATAATTTAAAAAAAATCAAAGAATATAGAGCATTTTTGGTGTTTTATTTCAAAAAACATGTGTTTACAAAAAAATGCAAGAATTTCGGGGGTCCTCAGCATTTTATAAAAGAAATTAAAAAATCGCGGGGGCCTCTTTTTTTATTTCATTGAATCTCGGAGCCTCTGGTATATAGTTTTTGTAAGAAATCTTGGGACTTCTACTAATGTGTTCTTTTTGAAAACAGTTCTTTTTTTTTAAACAATCTCAGGGGCTCCTGGTGTTCAGTTTTTTGAAGAATCTGAAAAATTCTCGGGCATCCGTGCTGTTTTATACGTATTTTTTAGTTTGATAGAATTCCCAGGACCTCTAGTATACATATTGTTCCTGGAAAAATTTGAAAGAGTTCTAGAAATCCTCGGTGTTTTATTAAAAAAATTAAAAAAAAAGAAAAATCTGGGACATCTTTTTTTTTTTGAATAATTTGAAAGCATCTTAGAACTCTTGGTGCACAATTTTTGAAAAAATTCAAACAATGTAGAGCATCTGTGGTGTTTTATTTCAGAAAAACATGAAAAAAGGACCCTTGTGTTCTATTAAAAAAAAATCGCGAAGCCCTCTAGTATTTTATTTTATTTATTTATTTATTTTTTTAATTTCATTGATCTCGGAGCCTCTGATATATAGTTTTTCGAAGAAATCTTGGAGACGTTGAATGTTTTATTTTTGAAAAAAAAATAAACAAACAAAAGGATCTTAGAAGCTCCTAGTGTTCTGTTTTTTGAAGAATCTTTGGGACTTGGAATTTTGAGAGTTTCCGGTGTTTTGTTGGGGACTACTGGTTATTTTTTTTTAATCTAAAAAAATCTGGGGAGTCGGTGGTGTTGTTTTATTATATTTTTTAGTTTGATAGAATTCCCAAGACTTTTAGCATATTGTTTCTGGAAAAATTTGAAAGAATTTCAGGAACCCTTGGTGTTTTATTAAAAAAAAATAAAAACAAAATGAAAAATCTCGGACATCTCTGGTGTTTTTTTTTTTTTTTTTGAGAATCTTGGTAACTTAGAATTTTGAAAGTTTTCGGTGTTTTGTTGGGGACTACTGGTTTATTTTTTTTTAATAATCTGAAATAATCTCGAGGATTCGTAGTGTTTTATATTTATATTTTTTAGTTTGATAGAATTCCCAGGACATCTAGTATTTTATTTCTAGAAAAATTTGAAAGAATTCCAGGAACCCTTGGTGTTTTATTAAAAAAAATGAAAAATCTGGGACATCTCTGGCTTTTTTTTTGAAGAATTTGAAAGCCTCTTGGGAACTAAATAAATAAATAAAAGAATCTTAGGGGTGCCTAGTGTTCTGTTTTTTGAAGAATTTTGGTAGTTTCCGGTGTTTTGCTGGGGACTACTGGTTATTTTTTTTTTAATCTGAAGAAATCTGCGGGATCGGTGGTGTTGTTTTATTATATTTTTTAGTTTGATAGAATTCCCAAGGCTTCTAGTATATTGTTTCTGGAAAAATTTGAAAGAATTCCAGGAACCCTTGGTGTTTTGTTAAAAAAAATAAAAACAAAATGAAAAATCTCGGACATCTCTGGTGTTTGTTTTTGTTTTTTTTCTTTTGGAAGAATTTGAAAGCATCTTGGGAACCCTTGGTGTACAATTTTTGGAAAAATTCAAAGAATGCAGAGCATCCTTGGTGTTTTATTTTAAAAAACATGAAAAAAGGACCCTGTTCCCTTAAAAAAAAGCAAGAATTTCCGAGATCCTTGGCATTTTATAAAAGAAATAAAAAAATCACGGGGGCCTCTGGTATTTTATTTTATTTTTTATTTGATTGAATCTCGGTGCCTCTGGTTTATAGTTTTTGGAAGAAATCTTGGGGCCATCTAATGTTTTTTTTTTTTGAAAATTTTTTTAAACAATCTCAAAGGTTCCTGGTGTTCTGTTTTTTGAAGAATCTTAGCGACTCGGAATTTTGGGAGTTTCTGGTGTTGGGGACTACTGGTTAATTTTTTTTTTAAATCTGAAAAAATCTCAGGGATCCGTGGTGTTTAATTATATTTTTTAGTTTGATAGAATATCCAGGACCTCTAGTATATTATTTCTGGAAATATTTGAAAGAGTTCCAGGAACCCTAGGTGTTTTATTAAAAAAAACTAATAAAATAAAATAAAAATGAAAAATCTGTTTGTTTTTTTTTTTTTTGAAGAATTTGAAAGCCTCTTGGGATCCCTTCAAAGAATGTAGAGCATCTGTGGTATTTTTTTTTAAAGACATGAAAAAAGGACCCTGGCGTTCTCTTAAAAAAAAATGCAAGAATTGCGGAGATCCTTGGCATTAAAAAAAAATTATAAAAAAATTGCGGGGGCCTCTGGTATATAGTTTTTGGAAGAAATCTTGGAGATATCCAATGTTTTCTTTTTGAAAAAAAAACAAAATTTAAACAACCTCAAGGGTTTCTAGTGTTCTATTTTTTGATGAATCTTGACTTGGAATTTTAGGTTTTTCCAGTGTTTTATTGGGGACTACTGGTTTATTTTTTTGGCGAATCTGAAAAAATCTCGGGTTCCGTGGTGTTACATATATATTTTTTAGTTTGATAGAATTACGAGGGCCCCTCTGGTGTTTTATTAAAAAAAAAAAGAAAAAATCTCGGACATCTCCGGTGTTTTGTTTTTGAAAGAATTTGATAGCATCTTAGGAGCCCTTGGTGTTTTATTTCAGAAAAACATGAAAAAACGAGCCTAATATTCTACTAAAAAAATGCAAGAATTTCGTGAACTCTTGGCATTTTATAAAAGAAATGAAAAAATCGCGGGGACCTCTGGTATTTTATGTTATTATTATTTTGTTATTTTATTTTATTGAATCTAATAGTCTCTGGTGTATAGTTTTTGGAAAAAAATCTTGGGGACATCTAATGTTTTCTTTTTGGAAAAACAAATTTCAAACAATCTCAGGGGCTCCTGGTGTTCTATTTTTGAAGAATCTTGACTTGGAATTCTAGGAGTTTCCAGTGTTTTGTTGGAGATTACTGGTTTATTTTTTTGGAGAATCTGAAAAAAATCTCGGGTTCCGTGGTGTTTTACATATTTTGTAGTCTGAAGGAGTTGTTTTTGGAAAAAAATTTTAAACAATCTCAAGGGTTCCTGGTGTTCTGTTCTTTGAAGAATCTTAGCGACTCGGAATTTTGGGAGTTTCTGGTGTTTTGTTGGGGACTACTGGTTAATTTTTTTTTAAATCTGAAAAAATCTCAGGGATCCGTGGTGTTTAATTATATTTTTTAGTTTGATAGAATATCCAGGACCTCTAGTATATTATTTCTGGAAATATTTGAAAGAGTTCCAGGAACCCTAGGTGTTTTATTAAAAAAAACTAATAAAATAAAATAAAAATGAAAAATCTGTTTGTTTTTTTTTTTTTGAAGAATTTGAAAGCCTCTTGGGATCCCTTCAAAGAATGTAGAGCATCTGTGGTATTTTTTTTAAAGACATGAAAAAAGGAACCTGGTGTTCTCTTAAAAAAAAATGCAAGAATTTCGGAGATCTTTGGCATAAAAAAAAATCGCGGGGGCCTCTGGTATATAGTTTTTGGAAGAAATCTTGGTGATATCCAAAGTTTTCTTTTTGAAAAAAAAAAGAAAAAATAAAATAAACAATCTCAAGGGTTCTGGTGTTCCATTTTTTCATTAATCTTGACTTGCAATTTTAGGAATTTCCAGTGTTTTGTTGGGGACTACTGTTTTATTTTTTGGAGAATCTGAAAAAATCTTGGGGATCCGTGGTGTTTTATATATATTTTTTAGTTTGACAGGATTCCATGGGCCTTTAGTATTGTGTTTCTGGAAAAAATTGAAAGAATTTCAGGAACCTCTGGTGTTTTACTAACTACTAACTTGTTTTGTTTTTGGGAAAGCATTTTGGGAACCCTTGGTGTACAATTTTTGAAAAAAATCAAAGAATGTACAGCATCCTTGGTGTTTCATTTCAAAAAACATGAAAAAAGTACCCTAATGTTCTCTTAAAAAAAAGCAAGAATTTCGGAGATCCTTGGCATTTTATAAAAGAAATAAAAATATCGCGGGGGCCTCTGGTATTTTATTTTATTTTTTATTTGATTGAATTTTGGTGCCTCTGGTTTATAGTTTTTGGAAGAAATCTTGGGGCCATCCAATGTTTTTTTTTTTTTTGAAAAAATTTTTAAACAATCTCAAGGGTTCCTGATGTTCTGTTTTTTGAAGAATCTTGGCGACTTGGAATTTTGGGAGTTTCTGATGTTTTGTTGGGGACTACTGGTTAATTTTTTTTTTTTAATCTGAAAAAATCTCAGAGATCCGTGGTGTTTTATTGTATTTTTTAGTTTGATAGAATTCCCAGGACCTCTAGTATATTGTTTCTAAAAAAATTTGAAAGAATTCTAGGAACCTTTGGTGTTTTATTAAAAAAAATAAATAAAAACAAAATGAAAAATCTGGGACATCTTTGGTTTTTTTTTTTTGAAGAATTTGAAAGTCTCTTGGGTACTATTCAAAGAATGTAGAGCATCTGTGGTGTTTTATTCAAAAAACATGAAAAAAGTACCCTGGTGTTCTCTTAAAAAAATATGCAAGAATTTCGGAGATCCTTGGCATTAAAAAAAACAAATCGCGGGAACCTCTGGTATATAGTTTTTAGAAGAAATCTTGGACACATCCAATGTTTTCTTTTTGAAAAAAAAAAAATTAAACAATCCCAAGGGTTCCCGGTGTTCTATTTTTTGAAGAATCTTGACTTGGACTTTTAGGAGTTTCCAGTATTTTGTTGGGACTTCTGGTTTATTTTTTTGGAGAATCTGAAAAAATCTCGGATTCCGTGGTGTTTTATATATATTTTTTAGTTTGATAGAATTTCGAGGGTATATTGTATTTAGTATTTTGTTTCTGGAAAAATTTGAAACAATTTCAGAAACCTCTGGTGTTTTATTGAAAAAAAAAAGAAAAAACCTCTGACATCTCCTGTGTTTTGTTTTTGAAAGAATTTGATAGCATCTTAGGAACCCTTGGTGTTTTATTTCAGAAAAACATGAAAAAACGAGCCTGATATTCTATTAAAAAAAATGCAAAAATTTCGGGAACTCTTGGCATTTTATAAAAAAAATGAAAAAAACGCAGGGGCCTCTGGTATTTTATTCTATTATAATTTTTTTGTTTTATTTTATTGAATCTAAGAACCTCTGGTATGTAGTTTTTGGAAAAAATCTTGGGGACATCTAATATTTTTTTTTGGAAAAACAAATTTCAAACAATCTCAGGGTTTCCTGGTGTTCTATTTTTTGAAGAATCTTGACTTGGAATTTTAGGAGTTTCCATTATTTTGTTGGGGACTACAGGTTTATTTTTTGGAGAATTTGAAAAAAATCTCGGGTTCCGTGGTGTTTTATATATATTTTTTAGTTTGATAAAATTCCGAGGGCCTTTAGTATTTTGTTTCTGGAAAAATTTCAAGAACCTCTGGTGTTTTATTTAAAAAAAAATCTCGGACATCTCTGGTGTTTTGTCTTTGGGAAAGCATCTTGGGAACCCCTGGTATATAATTTTTGAAAAAATTTAAACAAAATACAGCATCCTTGGTGTTTTATTTCAGAAAAACATGAAAAAAGGACCCTGGTATAGTTTTTCCAAAAAAACCTTGGGGACATCTACTAATGTCTCATTTTTGAAAAAAATTAAAGGAATCGCAGGGGCTCCTGGTATTTTGTTTTTTAAAGAATGTTCTGGACTTGGAATTTTGAGGGCTTCTGAAAAATTCTTGGGGACCCATGGTCTTTCATTTTACATATTTTTTTAATTGATAAATACGGTGGTCCACTGGTGTCCTGTGTTTTAAAGAATTTCAACGAGTTTTGAGGATTTGAAAAAATCTTACCGGCTTTTGGTTCTGCTTTTGAAAGAATTTGGAAGAACCTCAGATGGTGTTTTGTTGTTGAAAAAATCTGAAAGAATTTCAGGGGATTTTGTTGTTTTATTTATTTACTTTTTTTTAATTTGATAAAATCTCTGGGCCTAGTTTTTTATTTAGTTTTTAGAAGAATTTGAAGAAATTTTGGGGGCCTTTGGTGTTATATTTTGGACAATAGTTGAATTACACTAGAGAAATAAAGTATTTTGCTTTTCGAAGAATTTGAAACAATCTCAAGGGCCGTTTTATTATATTTGAATAAATTTGAAGGATTCTCAGGAACCTCTGCTGTTTTATTTACTTATTTTTTAATTTATTAGAACTTTGGGGACCTCTGGAAAAATTTGAAAGCGTTTTGAACTTTCCTAGATTTCATTCCCGTTCCATCAGCACTGAGAAAAAAATATGTTGGAAGCAACTGCGAATATACAGTGAAATTAGAAGATCTTGGTCATGGTCGCACTGGTTAGCAAAGTACAGTTTTCAAATCCTCTTACTGTGTCTTGTTAGGATTTATCATTCTACCTCCTCTAATTTTATGTTTCTAACTTAAACTTAATCATTTTTCAGGGCGAAAAATATTGAAACTAATGTTTTCTGAATTTCCAGCCATCTGCGTCAAGGCTACAACTACCAAAAATGGAATTAAGATATCTGAGAGACGGAAAAAAAATTAGAACAAACATTTTCTGAGATTCTGTCCATCTGTTGGTATAGGAATTGTGACATGAAAACACCCAGAATGCAGTTCAGTTGTAATAATATGAAGAAAAAACTCATTTATAGCTAAGAATTTTTCTGATATTTAAGTCAGTTACGTGTATTGTGTATTGCCTATACACCCAGGTGAAAACAAATACATATTGCCGACAAGGTAAAAAACGTCTATATTTCTGAGTCTGACGTGTCCTCTCTCCCAGAAAACAAAAAATGTACTTACTTTTACAAATTTACCAACAAATGTTAAAACTTAGGCAAAGTCAACACGCAATTAAGGTTTATCTACAAAAATGAGTCAACAAAAACCCCCAACTTCACCCTCCGACTGTATTTGTCAGCGAACTTGTAAAAGTCTCATCGACAATTTTTTTCTCCCAAAATCCTTCACCCATCTTAGTCCATCAATTAATAAAATGAAACGCAACTCGTTAAGCGAAATTAGACCCGAAAAAACCCGCTCTAAAAAACCGTTTCCATGTAATCACGACCATTATCGCAAAAGCGCCGCCAACTTTAGCACAATCCACAATCTATTCGAACCGCAACAAATAGGCAACACTCATTGCAGCATATTATACTTAATATTATTAATAATAAATCGCCCGCCTCCCCGATCGATACCCCCATTATTTATTTACAACCACCTGCTTACTTTGCACCTCTCCACACACTCCACCCCCACCCTCCCCCACTCCGCCCCGCCGACCACGTGATTACGATTGCATTATCCGAAAGTGTACACGGAAAGATGAGCGAGATTGTGTTTGTGAGAATTTTTATTTAAGCAGGCAACATCGCAGTCCACGTGGACTTGACGACCGCATGTCAGCGCGCTGGTAGGCGTGGCCGCGCCCCCATTGGCCCGCGCGCCGATGACGTAGGCCGCAAACAACCACGTGGTCCGTCTCCCGCTCAACAGTCGCGGCGGCGGCAGATGAGCCCGGAAAGTTGTGTTGTGTGTTGATCGCAGGCGGCCGTTACTTGCGTGAAGAAACAATGGACTGTGCGCGTCGGGCTTTTTCGAAAATTTCGAGTGCTGTAGTTGGCTGTGCGTCGTAGTGGCGGCGATGAGGAGCTGATAGAAGCGGCAGCATGTACCCCACCCCCGCGAGGCACCCGTCGGCCGCGGTAAGTGGGGTTGTTTGGATTGCGCCCCGCCGCCGCCGCCGCCACCGCCGCCGCGTTAAGGCGCTAACCTCTCTTCGTCTAATGTCGTTAAGTGGCAATTACCTGCAACGCGACAGTTTTGTTTCGCGGGGACAGTGCATGGGGGCGGCGGCGGGAGAGGTGAATGCTTGCAAGAAATTGAGGTTAGGTGCGACGGTGTGACGAAAACGGTTCTAAGGTGGTATTAAGCTTGGCTCGACTACAATCTACAGCCTGGATTATATCTATATATACATATTTCTATACATCATTTTTTTAAATTCTTGTGATCTGTGGACGTGAATGGTGTTAGTGGTGGTTGAAAATTTTTAATTAGAATTACTAATGTCTAAAGAAAGCGCAAACATTATTAGTAAATTGGGTTTTCCTAGAAAACATCAAGAGCTCTATATGGGTAATTATCTCCAACGGGACAGTTTTGTTTCCTGGGGACAATTAACACTAGAGTGGGGACGACAAGAGGCAAAAGTGTGGTCGGTCTATGCTAATTAATATTCAGAAAAAAGAAATTGAGGTTAGGTGAAACATGTGATGAAAGGTTAATTGAACTGGTATTAATAATGATTACACGTCGGTAAGACCGTGGTTAAAGCGATCTGGAACGTCTCTCTAGACACAATGACTGAAATTATTTAGTCATTATTTTTGTTTCTTTTAGAAAGGAAAATTTTCCGAATTATCTTCTGTTTTCCTGATCGGAGTACTTGTGGTATGCAACATTGGGGTTATGATTACCTGTTTTTTTTTATTTGGCTATAAAAATATAAAAGTTTAAACGGAAATTAAAATTTTATCAATGTTTATTTGTGATTACAACACTAAGAAATAATTTCCGTATATAATAATCGATAATTTTAACTGCCACTTATTCAGCTATAGTTACTATTATCCAGTTTACTCAATTCATATTAATAGTTAATAAAAAGAACAAAATATGGGACGCAGATTATTATAATTTCCCAGCAGATGTGTGGTAATTTACCCATTTTAGCATATTTTTCATTATTACTGTCTGTGGTTATTTGTTAGTCAGTTCTAGCATGATAGTTACAAAAGCCCGAAAAAGATAGCTAGTAGTTAATAATGAGCATTTAGCTGTGTCGATTTGGTCTAGCTTGAGGTATTTATTTAATTCTAACCATTATTTATTTAGCTATAAATGCTGTTGGTTGTTATTGTTAAAATCGGGTTTCTAATAATTGTTCAGAAGTTTCGTCAATAATGATAACTTTATATATATTTCAAAAATTCTGTAACGAACGCAAGTTAATCTCCTTCTAATTTCCCAGATGTGTGGTAATTTAGTCATTTTAGCATATTTTTCATAAAATCTCGCAAGGTTTAAAGAGATCTTACAGTTATTATCTGTAGTTATTTGTGAGTCAGTTATAGCAATGATAGTTACAAATTCCCGAAAAAGACAGCTAGTGGTTAAGAATGAGCATTTAGCTGTGTCGATTTGGTCTAGATTGAAGTATTTATTTAATTTTAAGTATTATTTATTTAGCTATAATTGCTGTCGGTTGTTATTGTTAAAATCAGGTTTCTAATAATTGTTCAGAAGTTTCGTCAGTAATGATAATTTTATATGTATTTCAAAAATTCTGTAACGAACACAAGTTAATCTCGTTATAATTTCCCAGATGTGTGGTAATTTAGTCATTTTAGCATATTTTTCATAAAATCTCGCAAGGTTGAAAGAGATCTTACAGTTATAGTTATCTGTAGTTATTTAGGAGTCAGTTATAACATGATAGTTACAAATTCCCGAAAAAGACAGCTAGTTGTTAAGAATGAGCATTTAGCTGTGTCGATTTGGTCTAGATTGAAGTATTTATGTAATTTTAACTATTATTTATTTAGCTATAATTGCTGCTGGTTGTTATTGTTAAAATCGGGTTTCTAATAATTGTTAAGAAGTTTCGTTAATAACAATAATTTTATATGTATTTCAAAAATTCTGTAACGAACACAAGTTAATCTCGTTATAATTTCCCAGATGTGTGGTAATTTAGTCATTTTAGCATATTTTTCATAAAATCTCGCAAGGGTTAAAGAGATCTTACAACTATTATTATCTGTAGTTATTTGTGAGTCAGTTATAGCATGATAGTTACAAATTCCCGAAAAAGACAGCTACTGGTTAAGAATGAGCATTTAGCTGTGTCGATTTGGTCTAGATTGAAGTATTTATGTAATTTTAACTATTATTTATTTAGCTATAATTGCTGTTGGTTGTTATTGTTAAAACCGGGTTTCTAATAATTGTTCAGAAGTTTCGCCAATAATGATAATTTTATATGTATTTCAAAAATTCTTTAACGAACACAAGTTAATTTCGTCATAATTTCCCAGATGTGTGGTAATTTAGTCATTTTAGCATATTTTTCATAAAATCTCGCAAGATTAAAAGAGATCTTACAGTTATTATTATCTGTAATTATTTGTGAGTCAGTTATAGCATGATAGTTACAAATTCCCGAAAAAGACAGCTAGTGGTTAAGAATGAGCAGTTAGCTGTATCGATTTGGTCTAGATTGAAGTATTTATGTAATTTTAACTATTATTTATTTAGCTATAATTCCTGTTGGTTGTTATTGTTAAAATCGGATTTCTAATAGTTGTTCAGAAGTTTCGTCAATAATAATAATTTTATATGTATTTCGAAAATTCTGTAACGAATACAAGTTAATCTCGTTATAATTTCCCAGATGTGTGGTAATTTAGTCATTTTAGCATATTTTCCATAAAATCTCGCAAGATTTAAAGAGATCCTACAGTTATCATGATCTGTAGTTATTTGGAAGTCAGTTATAGCATGATAGTTACAAATTCCCGAAAAAGACGGCTAGTGGTTAAGAATGAGCATTCAGTTGTGTCGTTTTGGTCTAGATTGAAGTATTTATGTAATTTTAACTATTATTTATTTAGTTATAAGTGCTGTTGGTTGTTGTTGTTGAAATCGGGTTTCTAATAATTGTTCAGAAGTTTTGTCGATAATAATAATTTTATATGTATTTCAAAAATTCTATAACGAACACTAGTTAATCTCGCTATAAGTTCCCAGATGTGTGGTAATTTAGTCATTTTAGCATATTTTTAATAAAATCTCGCAAGGTTTAAAGATATCTTACAGTTATTATTATCTGTAATTATTTGTGAGTCATTTATAGCATGATAGTTACAAATTCCCGAAAAAGACAGCTAGTGGTTAAGAATGAGCAGTTAGCTGTATCGATTTGGTCTAGATTGAAGTATTTATGTAATTTTAACTATTATTTATTTAGCTATAATTCCTGTTGGTTGTTATTGTTAAAATCGGATTTCTAATAGTTGTTCAGAAGTTTCGTCAATAATAATAATTTTATATGTATTTCGAAAATTCTGTAACGAATACAAGTTAATCTCGTTATAATTTCCCAGATGTGTGGTAATTTAGTCATTTTAGCATATTTTCCATAAAATCTCGCAAGATTTAAAGAGATCCTACAGTTATCATGATCTGTAGTTATTTGGAAGTCAGTTATAGCATGATAGTTACAAATTCCCGAAAAAGACGGCTAGTGGTTAAGAATGAGCATTCAGTTGTGTCGTTTTGGTCTAGATTGAAGTATTTATTTAATTGTAACTATTATTTATTTAGCTATAATTGTTGTTGGGTGTTATTGTTAAAATCGGGTTTCTAATAATTGTTAAGAAGTTTCGTCAATAATGATAATTTTATAAGTATTTCAAAAATTCTGTAACGAACACAAGTTAATCTCGTTATAATTTCCCAGATGTGTGGTAATTTAGTCATTTTATCATATTTTTCATAAAATCTCGCAAGGTTTAAAGAAATCTTACAATTATTATTATCTGTAGTTATTTGTGAGTCAGTTATAGCATGATAATTATAAATTCCCGAAAAAGACAGCTAGTGGTTAAGAACGAGCATTTAGCTGTGTCGATTTGGTCTAGATTGAAGTAGTTATGTAATTTTAACTATTATTTATTTAGCTATAATTGCTGTTGGTTGTTATTGTTAAAACCGGGTTTCTAATAATTGTTCAGAAGTGTCGTCAATAATGATAATTTTATATGTATTTCAAAAATTCTTTAACGAACACAAGTTAATCTCGTTATAATTTCCCAAATGTGTGGTAATTTAGTCATTTTATCATATTTTTCATAAAATCTCGCAAGGTTTAAAGAAATCTTACAATTATTATTATCTGTAGTTATTTGTGAGTCAGTAATAGCATGATAGTTACAAATTCCCGAAAAAGACAGCTAGTGGTTAAGAATGAGCTTTAGCGGTATCGATTTGGTCTAGATTGAAGTATTTATTTAATTTTAACTATCATTTATTTAGCTATAATTGCTGTTGGTTGTTATTGTTAAAATCGGGTTTCTAATAATTGTTCAGAAGTTTCGTCAATAATAATAATTTTATATGTATTTCAAAAATTCTGTAACGAACACAAGTTAATTTCGTTATAATTTCCCAGATGTGTGGTAATTTAGTCATTTTAGCATATTTTTCATAAAATCTCGCAAGGGTTAAAGAGATCTCACAATTATTATTATCTGTAATTATTTATGAGTCAGTTATAGCATGATAGTTACAAATTCCCGAAAAAGACAGCCAGTGGTTAAGAATGAGCATTTAGCTCTGTCGATTTGGTCTAGATTGAAGTATTTACATAATTTTAACTATTATTTATTTAGCTATAATTGCTGTTGGTTGTCATTGTTAAAATCGAGTTTCTAGTAATTGTTCAGAAGTTTCGTCAATAATAATAATTTTATATGTATTTCAAAAATTCTGTAACGAACACAAGTTAATCTCGTTATAATTTCCCAGATGTGTGGTAATTTAGTCATTTTAGCATATTTTTCATAAAACCTCGCAAGCGTTAAAGAGATCTTACAATTATTATTATCTGTAGTTATTTGTGAGTCAGTTATAGCATGATAGT